TCGGACACGCAAGCCTCGTTGAGGCAATAATCGATTGGAACTGTAAGTGTTCTCAATCTTAATGGGGGGGTGTCACGGGGTTACCCATACCCTGGTAACAAGGGTGTATGTCACATTAGATGAGCATGGTGTGACCACCCAAACAAGAATACGGTACGAGGCTGGATAGCCACTAGTTATACATGTATTTAAATTTTATTAGACATATTTAGGAATATCTATGCATTAGAAATTTGGCGGCTTTGCCGCAGATAAAAATAAATAAAGTCAGTTTTGAATTCAAACCGAAGAATTAATTAGCCTTGGTTAAGGCTATAATTACTCTTGGAGTAAGCGGATTGCGGTCCGCTAAACTCGTACGTGTTTCGAGTATAGAACGAGAGGTCGGTGACCTAACTTACGCTTCCTCAAGCGCAAAGCTACGGCAGCCCCGCTGCACTAAACAAACTAGACCACTCATGCGGGGATAATCTCTCTCGTTCTTAGCTTTTGAAGCTTCATAGGTCATCACATTGGGCCTGTCACATGGTTATGATTACTGTCACATCATAAAATAACTATTTTCCCTTTTTGACTTGAGGACCTCAATTTCTGCTCGCGACTTATAGTCACTTTTGGCTCAAAAGGTAATATTATCGGGGATTATGACACCCAGATGCTTCTAATCCCCACCGGGCCTGGCACAATCGACAACAGCCCAGAGCTACCCTTAATCGTCCCACCAGGGACGCACTGTGGAGAACACGGCATATAGTCGTCCAATCCTGCCCAGCCTTCAAAGGCATGCTCGAGGCACATAGCAATATCATAGCAATCAATATTTGACAATCCTATTTTCTGCGCGGAAGACGTCGCAGCTCGTGTACGCGCCAAACAAAATTAAGACGGGTGAGACGGTGAGTTATCTGCACCAATTAAGCAAAATGATTTTGATATGCATCGACACTCTCACCAGCTTGAAAGTATCAAAGTTACATACCAATTGCCTATTAGAGGGTACACCGCTTTTGCTCTAAGGTACTCCAGCTATTGATGGCCTTGGGCAGAGAAAGCACTTGTGGGGCGACTGCCTTGCACTCGTTTTGCTCAGGGTGGGAGTCGAAAGGACCGCACGCACAGGCGTGTAGAAGCCCCGCACTAGCGTGGTGAGCGACGTCAGATGATTTGAATTGTAAAAATGGCGTGGAGATATGAGTAAGAATAGACGTGAGTCTTGCACTTCTAGTAGAAGAAGATGGACTGCTTGAATCAGGTTCAGCTTGTCATCAGGGAATGTTTAGATTTTTTAGATCTAAATGAGGCAGAGGATTTGGTCGGGACAGGAAGAGCGACTGATACCGCTCTCATTTAGGAAAACCTCAGCATCCCCACCGAGACAATCTTTAAATGTGGTGGTGCGCCTTTTTTTTGGGGGGGGGGCTGGACTTGCTAAACTTTAATTAGGTGCCCGATAGGGGCTTCCCTATGCAAGTATTCTCTGCGGAGCAGGGACGTTCGATTGTAAATAGGGGATTAATTTCCAGGCGCAATACTTTCTCGTCGTAGTCACATTTGCGCAGTCGTCTTGAAAAGACATAACAACTGTGCACCTCGATTCAGTCTACATCTTAGTGGTGGATAGAAAGGGGTATGAACTTTTAATCTTGTGTGTATTTCGTTATACATTTGGTATTTTATTGTATCAGCAACAACAGATTGCAATCGTACAACTTTCACATTGTAGTTGTATATTTGTAAGTATTGACTTTCGGTGTAATGAAGCTGAAAAAACTCTAAAAAGAAGGGGTTTGTGGTATGAGCGGACTGCTTGCCGCGCGTTGGAGAGAGGTTAAATTAACAACCTATACACGATCGCAATAGCAGAGCAAATCCAAAATCTAGTACGCTAAAGACTCTTTGCTTCATTCCTCAAAGGGGTGAACGAACTCAACCTCTGTGTCCTTACAATTGGGAACCACTTGGAGTCAAACCATCCCCTGTACAAATTGCACAACATATTCGCTCTCCTATTGATGCATCAATTCCTTAATACGAACCCATCCTCTGTGCGCTAATTGGTGCATACTTTGAAGTGAAAAAAATCTGTGTGAGAGATGCATGGCAAACCCGTGCACTACGAGTCAAAATCATCGTCTGTGCAAGGTACAGTTTAAACTGTTCTTCACGAATCATATTTACATTTCATAGTCTGAAACTTACTTTTTATTCGTGGTATCGAGCAAGCGCAACTCTAATTCGTAGTAAAGACGCTGCTTGCGCAAACACATGCACATTTTGTGGTACACACTGATTCTTAAGAGTGAGCTCACCATCGCCAATAAAATTGACGTCCATTCCCCGTTTGTCTTTGTGATCCGAATCCTATCATGCGCCTCTTTCGCTCTTCCATGCGCGCGTCATCGCTTCTTCAAACGCGATCCTTCGCCACCAATGCCTCCGAATTACGCTCGGCTGTTTTCAAAGATCATTTGCGTACAGTGAAAATGGCTGAATCCATGGAGACGGTCCTCCCTGGCGGACGAAATCTTTTTCCACTACTCCCGAAAGCCTTCACCGGCATCAAGCAGGTTGGTGTGATTGGCTGGGGCTCGCAGGGACCCGCACAGGCTCAAAATCTGCGAGACTCGCTTGAGGGCACGGACATTAAGGTCAAAGTTGGTCTTCGCGAAGGTTCATCCTCTATCGCCAAGGCTAATGCCGCTGGTTTTAGTGAGGACAAGGGCAATCTCGGTGAAATGTTTGATGTTATCAAAGAGTCTGACTTGGTGGTTCTACTTATAAGTGATGCGGCTTCCGTAGCATTGTACCCCAAGATTTTCCCCCTGATTAAATCGGGTGCCACTCTCGGTTTATCCCACGGGTATCTACTTGGACATCTCGAATCCATCAATGAAACTTTCCCTAAGGACATTAACGTTGTCATGATGGCTCCAAAAGGAATGGGTCCGAGTGTACGTCGCTTATACGTGCAAGGAAAAACCGTTAACGGAGCTGGAATCAACTCAAGTGTGGCAATTCACCAAGATGTGACTGGCAACGCGACCGAAATTGCTCTGGGGTGGAGTGTTGGTGTCGGTGCCCCTTACACGTTTTACACGACCATGGCTGACGAGTATAAATCAGACATTTTTGGTGAACGCTGCATTTTGCTTGGTGGTGTTCACGGTCTCGTGGAATCTCTTTTCCGTCGCTATGTGCAGAACGGCATGAGTCCCGAAGATGCTTTCAAGAACTCGGCCGAATGTATTACGGGCCCATTGAACGAAAAAATTTCTCATTCCGGTATCAAGTCGGTGTATGAAAGTTTCAAGGGCGAAGACAAGATCATTTTTGAGAAAGCGTACACAGCCGCTTACACGCCGTGCCGCGACATTATTGAGGAAGTATACGACGATGTAGCGTGTGGCAATGAGATTCGCAGTGTGAACAATGCTGTAGCTCGCCACGATCGCTTTCCATTTGGGAAAATTGATCAAACATACACGTGGAAAATTGGTGAGAAGGTGCGTGCGGCTCGTGATGGCAACTTTGTATTGAATCCTTTCACTGCTGGATCGTACGTGGCTATGATGATGGCACAAATTGATGTGCTTATAAGTCATGGTCACTGCTATTCGGAGGTTGCGAATGAGTCGGTGATCGAGTCGGTGGACTCGCTTAATCCATACATGCATGCACGTGGTGTTGCTTACATGGTCGATAATTGCTCGACAACGGCACGTCTCGGCTCGCGCAAATGGGCTCCTCGCTTTGACTATATTCTGACGGAGCAAGCATATGTTGCTGTTGACGGCAACCAGATCAAAAACGAGGCAAAGATCATGAGCGAATTCAAGAATCACAAGATTCACGATGTGCTTGCTGTGTGTGCGTCGATGCGTCCCAGTGTCGACATATCTGTTGAATAAACTCGCCAGACAGTTGACAGTCATAATATACTTGTAGCACTTTTATGACAGTTGCAAGTAGTAATTCAACTATGGTAATGTATACAAAACCAAGATCTTATCGTCTTCTATATTAATGTGCCCCGAGTTGAAAAGCATGAACTCGATGCAGGTAGCACTTTTGCCAAGAGAGTACGCATCTAGCGTTAGAGTTTAAGTGTCTTAAACGGCTAATCTTTTGTTTGATAGAACGCTTGTTTTGCAGAAAGGTCCTACTGTTGGTACTGGGCGCTTTGGAGAGGTCTCAATCGCTCTTCGATTGCCAAGGTTACAGATTAAGACCTTAAATGTCGCCATTTTGCTTACTCGAATCTAGTGCAATTTTGCTTGCAGTAAAGCAAATATTTGTCCAGGAAGAATTAGATCAAGGCAACGACATTAGTTCGTTATCGTTGCAGCGTGTGCAGAGCTGGAAGCAGATTGAGCGCGAGCTAAATATACTTCAACTTTTACAACGCCATGACCACCGCAACATCGTACGGTATCTTGGCAGCGGTACGTTGATACTACATTGCATGAGGAAGTAGATTTGACAGCTTCACTGTTGTTCAGAGCGCAACGGACCGTCTGTTAACATCTTTATGGAGTATCTTCCGGCAGGCTCGCTGAGCAAGTAAGAAATATTTGTAAGATTAAAGAAGGATTGACGCTGATTTGGGGATGCTGCCAGAGTGTTGAAGCAATTCGGACCATTTAGTGAAGAGATGGTCCGGGCTTATGTTCGTGATGTGGTACAAGGTGTATCGCATTTGCATGAGCTAGGTATTGCGCATCGCGACCTTAAGTGCGCCAACTTATTACTTGCAGACGACGAGCTTGGTGGTGTTAAGATTGCAGATTTTGGAACAGCGAAGATGGTTGCTTTTGAAGTACGAAATGGTGTGAATGTAGATCAGCAACGCCAGATGGACACATTAAGGTGCTTTCTGCTTTAATGAGATGAAGATTTTACCTTGGTTTGAATGTTGCACGTGTATTGTTGAGCTCTCCAGATCCGTGCGTGATGGCATGGGCTCACCATTTTGGATGGCGCCCGAGATTGTTCGCGCTGAAAAGGGGACAGATTCCTGGTGCAAGGCAGATGTTTGGGGCATCGGTTGTATCGTGATTGAAATGGTTACAGGGAGGCCACCATGGGTATGTTGCTTTTACATATCCCTTGATGATTTATATCCTTGTACTAAGTGTCATATATTCTGCAGGAAAATTTGTCTAACCCGCTTACCGCCATGTTTCACATTGCATCTGCTTCCACAATCCCAGACTTTCCGAATCACTTATCATCGGCAGCTCACGATTTCTTGTTGAGGTGTTTCGAAAAGAACCCGGACAATCGTGCATCCGCCACCGAATTACTCCAGCATAGGTTTCTGCTTGAATCACCAAAGTCTTCGTGATAGATGCTGTGCTGGCTTAAATGCCTGTTATCACACGAATTATCATAACAAAGGACAATGCTTTCTGTTGCAAACGGCGATATCTTTGTAGATACAAAAAAACAAATTCTATTCCATACAAATTCGGCCGCTTCAATCGATTGTCGGGATTTGGTGACGTAGAGAAAATGCGAGCAGTTTTCCAAGTATAACGTCATGGTTCTCGTCCACAACCGCCCGCGCTGAAGAACTGTAACTTATTGTCCGTAAAAGTTGCAGCGTTTCTTTAAATTGAATCGCTGCCAATAAAACTGCATAGAATATAAGTACGCGCTCGTTTCATTCAAATAAATATTAGATCTATGTTACCTCTTAAAGGTGCCCAGGCATCGGTAGCCGCATAGATGATCTGTGCATCGCTTAGACTTGGCGCTTCCCAGTCCGACACTTGCAAGTCCTTATCAAGCGAGCCTCCAAGCATCACCTGACATGCTGTCTTGAGTCCGGGTCGCAAACAACCAAGTTTGTGTGTAATATACAGCGTGTCGATTGTCGAATTGACCGCTTGTACCAAATTTGACAACTTTAACTGACGAAAATCATCACTTAACGAGTGACCGACTTTCAATACATTAGAATCAGCAAATAGGTCATGCAATATCGGCGGCAGTGGCTTTCCACGTTGCAGTCGATACAGAAATGCCCGCTCCAGTGTGCTAATTTGGATCAAACACACAGGATTACCCTTTGATCCCTTCAATGGTTGAAAATCTGGCCTCGCTTCTGTATCAACACCCACAACCTTTTGTTTCCATAAATATTCGGCATGCTCCTGCTCTTCTTCGTTCGAGTGAATGACTGCTATTGGTCCATCAAACTGAATCTTTGGCAGCTTGTCATAATCACTTAGAGTTTTTTCCCCAAAACGTTGAAACAGCGCTGAGCCTTGGCGAAACAGCGGCAAGTGCATGGCACGCGCATGTTTTGCAAGTTTTCGCCGCATCATACGTGCAAACTCTTTTTCGCGTTTTGCTTCATCGAATTCATTGCGACGATCACCTGCCTTAGAAACAGATGAGGCGACAGGTAGCGGCAACTGTTCCAGCGTTTCTATGGCCAGTGTAGCTCGCAAGCGGTTCATTTGATTGCGTTGCTTCTGACCCGCAGACGATATCTTGAAATTATCATTGTGAGAACAGACTTTTTGCTTTGTGGAAAATAGAACTGCACGATGAAGACTACACTTGAACGCACACGCATGCCGAGATAGAGTCTTGGCTACCTGCATGAATCCCTCACTTAGCAGATAGACACTGTTTTTTTTTTAACTATTACTTCACATATGTTAAGGCCATCAACATTAAGTATTATGAAGTAGTATTCATATTGCAATAAAACGATAAAGAAAATATGTTTGGAGTTGCACATGTTACTCCGCCAGAGCCATCGTTACCCAAATTCTCGACGCGCGAGGCTCGCTTCCGTAAAGCGTGCGATGCAAATACTTTATTTTTCTACATTCCTACCAAATCAAGTCTCCTACTGCCATTATTGCATCCTGTGAGCCATGTCTACAGGGAGCAGGACGCACGTTGTTTACATTTGTTACAATCTGTTGCACTGATTCCAAGCTGCAAATGTAAAAAGATACTCGCGACTGTTAACGAAGCACTCAAGATACCCGTATCTGCAGCTACTCGTGGTCGATTCGAAACCAAGTTGCGGCCGCTGATAAATAAACTACGCGACGAGGATGAAAATTGCGCGACTCGACCATTAATCGCCCTACAACTTAAGGAGAAGGTGGCTGAGTGCTTGCGTTGCTGGATCGTGGATCCGATCGATGGATTTGTGCTCAGAAAAGAGCATGTTGTGAAAGGTATGCGGTTAGATGATCTAGTGGCTACACCCGTCGGTGTGGGATATATGAGGGGTTACCGCACCACAGACGGCTTTTGTATAATTGTGTACCCTTGGGGCTATGGATTCGTGCACCTGAATGAGGTCAAAAAGGTGCAACAGGCTGCTGAAAATCATCTCAAAAAGCGCATGTACACCGAATATGTTGCATTTGAGCATCAGCAACTATACGAGCAGATCAAGGGACTTTTGGATGATTTACCGCCAATATCTGACAAAAGTAATGATTTTGAGGATACAAAAGAAAAAAGAGATGAGGATCTTGAAGTGTTGCCCAGAATTCTAAACAAGGAGGTGCGGGTGGCTTTTACTCCGAATTTGTATTATGAACTAACGTCGTTTGCTGTAGCATATGAACACGACAGTGCTGCAAAAAGACTTACAATTTTTGCGTCGTGTGGAAGCACTTGTGAAGAAAGTACAGTATTCTCGTCAGGCGCAGACAGTTAAGGAGCCTGATCGCAAGTTGCTGCGCATGGATGAAGACGACGAGATAGCAGGGGACGCTGAGCAGCTGGAATCTGTAAAGCAATATCAAACATCAATCTAGGAGAAAACCTTACACAGATGATTGGAAACGAAGTGAACCAAGCCCAACAGAGATCAATATTGAACGGTAATGCAGTCATCACCAAACTTGGTAATTCCAAAGCAATCAAAGTTAATGCCCGATTAAGGACGTCTGATCTTGACTACTGTTGCAAATCAAATATTTGATAGATATATAACATCAGACAGTGACTCACGGTGCGATTCCACAAAGTACGTATCTGGTAAGGCAGGGAATAAAATTTAAATAATGCTCAAAAACTTAAAGATCTAATTCTCCTGAAAGGAAAAGTTTTTATTCTGGATTGAGATCCCATGGGTATCAAAACAGGTACCTCACCAAGCTACAAACCACTTGAGCCAGGGATCGGTCACAGAGTTGTAAGAGATGTTGGCAAGTTATAAGGATTCGAGAGTTAGCAGAACACAGAATAACTTCGGATTATATTGTGGAGAGACCCAACTATGAGCTCCATGGATCTCAATTTTTACTAGTTGTATCGCTTTGAGCTACAATTTAATATCCAACAATCCATGCAGCAAACACTTGAACACAAGATGAAACATAAGCGTTGAATATGGTTTTACAAAAAGAAATCTCACCTTGATCAAACACTTGCGGCTTTAACAACGCCACCACCCATGACCGAAAAGCTTCGTAAAGAACATACTGACTGAAACAAAAGCTTTCATTGACGATTTAATTTGTTGAGCTTCATGCCTTCGCCTTATCTCGAGAGCAAAAAGTGCATTTAACGTTCTGGGAGCCGGCACGATAAGCCCATCTTAGATACAGAATCAAGAATTCTGTAGGTTACTCAATGATTAAAATGCTGACTTTGCTGATATTTTAAAGATATTGCAGACAACATGACTCACAAGTTTTGCTCCTGATCGTCTGTTTGCGGGTAGGTTGTTGCCCAGAAATTTGCTCCTTATCGTAGCAGACACACAATTGATTGTGGTTGAAATACATGATACTCAGTTCGTGAACATACTGGAACTTCGTGACTGGGGCAGAAACAGAGAGCAAACATGTTTTCGCGTCTGAGTTTTGCTTCATATTGGTATAGCCTTGCAAATTTTTTGCTTATTTCTGCTGACAGATTTTAATGCTGATGCGCGAGCTATATTCTTTCTTGATTCTGAGCTGACAAAAGTACACAATTTATTTCGCATTACACTTTTATGGAATTTTAAGTACGCGTAAGTAACTTATAAAAATGAAAGTGGTGGCTTTCGTGGTACACATGGACTCGTAGCCCCACGTTTTGGTAAGTAATATAGATTATTTCATCGCATATAGTAGAACATAATAGTTTAACTCAAATTTGATAATATGCCAATTTTGAAACAGCAGATCAATCTAAGCAAGTAGCACGTTTCGCTCCCGGATATAGCGTACAACCCAACATCTAAGCGTAAGTAGCGCAAACTTGCTTAGCCGGAATTTCCTCTGTGCACAGTACACGTCAAGTTCGTGCACTTGATGATACTTTTAATCCATCCCACGACCAAGAGCTGTATTCGTCATGAGGACGGAGCGCGAGATATTCTAATACATGCCCCAGAACAACTTGTTATGCTTGGACACTAACGTAATCTAATCTTAGAGTCATGAAACTGCCGACAAAAAAGACGACACGGTAGTCTCTCGCCCAAAGACGTTCACCAGCTATGATGATGGGCTGCTGAGATACCACCAGGAGCACTTCAATCGAACCTATGTGTAACCACAGATAGCTCCACCCGCAAGGCCACTGAAGTTAAACGTCCAGCCTTTTGCGTGCAGACACGGGAAGTACCTCTCTTTGGATAAGGAAGTTGATATAATCGTGAACTTGATCATGCTGCGATAGGAACAACCGCGTGTCGCGCTTGCGATCTCTAAGCGAGTATGCCGCACGAGAATGGACTCTGCAAGCAGTAATTCTGTGAAAGAGATTTTTTGATCCGGAAAGATTTGATGCGACATAGCTTATCTAGGCGTATCGAGTACGCTCTAAATATTGACGTCGCAAGACGCGCAAATATCGTTTTCGCATTTGATATCTTCAATATCTCTGCGCACTGCAATTGTACGACTCTTCTGAATCTATCCCGACTTTTCGCAGCTTTACTATGCCTGGAATGTTAGCGTTAACAACAACAAAGTTCTAGATTGAAAGCCCCACTTTTCTTCCAGAGAATTGCGCGTTCAGACGCTGGGTCCCATTGACCGCGAGCTTTACAAGGTACAATAGATCACGTATCGTTCCCAGTGGGCGCGAGGCATTTTACTGGGGGTCGATGTTTCTGTCGAGGAGTCGATCGTAAGACACCCCCTGCAGGCAAATCCGACCATTCATACTTCCAAGCCAAGAGAGAAGGAGTACGCAGGGCGTCGATGTTTAGTACAACGACATATGAAACATCTGCGAAGCTACGTGAAAGCCAGGATTTATTTCTTCCTTAACATCATCTCTGAGATCTATCTCCTCTGGTGCGCTCCAAGCCTCCACTTTCGGCACCTCATCCGTCCCACGCGGTACTGCACATTCAATGAGAGTCCACTGCTGTATCTGAAAAGGTAATGCGGACGTGGAAGGTCTCGGCTCGAGTCGCACGATAGCTGAGATGAGCTTCACTTCTTGTGGACGAGTATATGACGCCTTCGCGACGATAAGAGCTCACAATTTTCATGTCAAGAATTATTACACATTATCCAGCAACATTAAACTTTGGTAGCGTTGTTTGTTGTCTCATTTCAGATTCTGATTCGAGCGATGATCTCATTCTAGGCACAGAATGTCTTGAACGCTACGAACCATGGATCGACTGCAACCCAAGGAAGTAAATACCAAGCAAGCTTTTATGGTAGGAGTCATAAACATATCTTTGTCAGATAACACTGACGCTTTTAGCGCAATTTCGAATCTACTATTGCTTCGGTGTAGAATATTAGATCGTCAATTTATTTAGAAATTATATCGCTTAGTGTTTCATGCAGAGCTCGAAAGGCAGAAGCATCAGTGAGCAGCGAGATCAGCATGATATATAAAGTAGCGATCGTATACCACGGTATCTCTGAAAGGCGAGATAAGTTTATGTCGTGATCACTTCGTATGGGGCGTTTGAGTGCGCCAAAAGGTGAAGTATCCGGCGCTAAAATTGGTGTAGACAAATATGAGCAATTGTGTGTCGCGGCCGTCTGGGCTATGGACAGCGAACAGCAGAAACATTAGGGTGCCGCGGTCCTCAAAGCCAGAGTCGTAAAGCGATCTTAAGTCGCAGATACAAGATCCAAGCTCGCAAAGTTTAGAGGCATGGGTCGCCCATTTCACGATGTAACGGTATCACATTTGCGGGGTGTTAGTTCAATAGAATGACCCTCGGGTAGACCATGCAGAAATAACATTATTGATTGGCTAGCCTTTCATTTTTAGGCATTTAAGGGATAATTTGAACCGGTGAGCTGTATATTTCGATTATGCCGATATGGCTAAATCTTCGCCAATGTCTTATAAAAAGATACCTAAGTAGGATAGGTTGCGGCACAAGCAGCAGCTATCATAGCTGTGAAAGAAAGCACCAACTCTGATTCTTACCAAATTAAATTGACCAACATATGTCATATGTGACGTTTTAGTCTTTTCATCACTTATGCTAAACTCCATGTTGATATTGGCTGAAATGATTGCAAAACTTGCTTGAGCCTCGTCAACTTGAAGAAGCAGAAGGATTGTCCTGCTCCCAAGGAGTTACTTATTTTTGAAGGAAACACCTGCTTGGCTTATAAATATATGTGAGTTATAAAGTTCATGCGCCGTTGTGCACAGTGACGTCGTCACCACATCTCTCGAAATATGCCGAGATGGCTATCTTTGCTTGCCGAGTATCACTTTGAGGTATGGCAGAAGCCGGGTCGGCTTAATGAGGTGGAAGACGCGCTTTCATCTCGCCCCAATAAAAAGCTGTGGAAAATGTCATGACGGTTTCTTAGTGTTGACGAGGCGATAGGTATGGCACATGGGTGGAATGCAACATGTGTTCCGTTACAAAAAGCATTGAGAAAAAAATCCTGTATTATACAAATGCTTGGTTGCACGTCTGCATCTTCTTCCTTATCTTAAATTTTGCTTAAATTTTGCTTTATCACACATATTCAGTGTGGTAGTACCTCATGACGAGGACCAAGCACAGAATACAATTCAAAGCGCATGACACACCTTTGAATAGCCTTCTCAGAAGAGAAAAGCCATACAATTCTGTGAGCGCTTTGTTCTGCTGGCATATCAAGTATAGATGGGTAATTACAATTTTGCGCACTAACGAAGCATACCGATGGGTTAAACCCTCGCCGCATACGTCTATCAGCCGGCAGAGTGACTGCAGTCCATAAGTGTGTACTGTATTTTTGATTGAAACGGGCGAGGTAATACTTCCATTGCGGTTTAAGTTCACCACCTAAGTAAACTTTTAAATATCGCTGCTGTCAGCAACACACTTACTGATGAGGATACAACCACGATGCTTGGTTGGTATCTTTTTCCTTGGCAAAAAACAGTTTTTACAGCGATTTCCCATTTTTGAAAATTCTTTAAGTTTTAACCTTCTGCCTCAACTTTCCACAATCTGCGCATTTACGGTCCGTTTCATTCGAAGGAAATCGATACGATGTCTTGCCCTAGAATTCGCTACGACGTTTATTTCGTTATTAGTAAGCTTGACCTGGCTCAGCTAGTTAAGATTTTCCATTTTTAAGTTCACGCGTCGCTGCAGACTTTCCGGACTGATAAACATCATAAATTGGAATCCGATTTAAGCGGGTATGGTCACCAGTGCTATTTTTGGTTTCTGGTGTGGAACACAACATTCGCGGTCGAAAGGTGGGATTGTGATTGGTGAATAGAAAACTTTCATTTAAGGAATAATCAAATTTATAAGATCCACTTTGGCAAGATTAACCTGGCATCGTTGTCGTTGATGATATGGCACACCGCGATCTTTCTTCACCCTGAAGAAAAAGCAAGGTCGCCAGGCACAGCGTGCTTTCCACTAACGAGTGGGGTCCGCCCAAGGATGCGTTGATGAGATTCCAACTCGGTGTCTGCGTTTTGCATTGTTAAATGCAAATTAAGCTATGAATGGCGCTTTCGTTGGGTGTCTTCTTCAATAGTTGGCCTGCTATCAGACGGGTAGGGCGACGTGTCTTCCTTGTCCTGTGCAAACTGAGTGCGATACACTGAGGCCTTTTGTACAGGGTACAATTCGTTTCCCACCGCTGTTACTCAGGGCGAAGATGGTACTTCCAAGGGTTGTGACGTGCGGGGTCCGAAAGATCTCTTAGCGCAATATTTGTAGGATCATTTTGTCTGGGTTTAAGCGAAAGATCCGCACGCATAGACATGTAACGGAACAACTACAGGCGGCGCGCAACTTTCAAAACAGTAGATTAATTTTGCTCATTGCGGAGAACTCATCGCCTGCAGTCGGATCTTATATGTTCTCGATTGTAATGGTATGCGGAATCTATTCGAGGGTCTCAACGTGCGGCCAAACCTGAGGCAGATCAGATTTCAGATGTGCTCTCTGAATGAGCCAGTACACTATGTAGCTAGAGGCACCCCTTGCCGTTACAGCAAATACGGAGGAACATTGATCTGTCACAATCCAAGTGTTCACATCATGTTTTGCCTTGTCAATAGGCGACGTCGTCATTGTGACATACAGCAGCTTATGTCTAAAACGTCGCGAAAGCGCATCCGTCACCAGATAGAGACCTTGCTCAGGCCTCAGCTTAGAAGAATATTTGGTAAAGAAAAGATTTACTATCTTGCCATTGATTTTAAGTATCGCGGTGATGACATCGCTATATGCAACGGCGCATGATTTGTAGAGATCCTGTACGAAGAAGTACCTTTTATTTTTCACAGTCCCTCCTTGCTAGTTTTCCTCTGCCGCAGAAAAGTCACGGAGCAAAGCTTTGCTGTCAACATGATTACTACAATGCTGCGGGTCTCTCGTCAACACACCCTGAAGTTCGTCACTAAAGATTAAGATCCGTATTGTAGCCGGCACTCGAACTAAGTGATCTGAGAGTATCGTGAACGATAAATTAACCTCCTCCTCTGTTACCACCTCTGTTACCAAGGGTATCATTTTGATGACCTCTTCGTCTTGCAAGTTTTTAAAATTATCCCAAAGGGACAACGTTGAAGATATATGGGAGCTTCTGATTAAAGCAATAAGGGATGCTTTTAACTCTTAAAACTTCCCCCGTTGCTACGTTCACGAGTGGGTGGACTTCTCTCATTGAGCGGTGCGGCTTTTTTATCCCGCGTAGTATCTGTCTATTAACTATACCGTCATATTGTGCACCAGGTATGGCTTGCAACTAAAGGTCTCCCGTCTCCACCGGCACTTTTCTTCATCGGCTTTGGGACAGGAATGCCAGCTTACAGCTGTGAATAATCGTCCCATCTAGAATACGACGCCATGTCGTCGTTCATTCCTGTCTCAGCTTCGATACACGCTGGAATTCAAGACATACGATCACTCGTCTCTGTATCAATTCGGCTGATTGCCACTTTTACCTTCTGATCTATGTTCGCGGTGTCAAAAGTTTGCGGCGTTTTCAAAAGGATAAGATCGTTCTTAGAATCCAAATTAAAAAAGACAATATGTTACTGTGTCTACGTCCTTAAAATTCACATGGAGGCTACTCATAGTCTGCAAAACTTTAACTGGCATTTTCTTCGCAAGTCCGCGGCATTCGTATATCTGTTTGGCATTCAATACTTGCGCGTACTCTCCGCTGTTTCCTACCGTCGTATGTCGTACGTAATTGCACGATTCTCCTGAAGTTATCACGCCATTACACAGCTTCATATAGTGGAAAATGTTGATATCTACAATCAGTAACCCTTAATTGTAAACTTGCCTCTCTTAACGATATAGTTTTACCAAACGAGCTGATCATCTTGCGTTCGACAATCCCTTACAAAAAGTTTTCATTGGCAAACACGCGCGGAATACCTACTGTTCGTACCTTTTAACCGTAATAGAAAGAGGCCATTAGGGTGCAAAGGTCTAGTTACCCGCAAATATAACATATGTTAGTACCACAGAGCTACTTCGCTGCTTCTTCCTCGTCAGAATGACTGAGATCTATCGCCTCTAGCACTTGTGTAGGAAGTCGACATCTCGGACTTCCAACCGGTCCCCGCGACAAGATACTTGTACTCCGCATTTGACGCGACGCTCACCATTTGATGAAAACAGAGTCTGCAGGCTTAATAAGCCTCGACGCGTACCGCACATAATTGGCGACCCTCCATAGGTAGACAATGTTCCCGTCACAGGAAGCAGACGTGCCTTCATTGTAGCGTTCAAAATCGTCCGCTAGTTTTTGACCTACCTCAACCGGTCGACAAGGCGCCGGATTTGTTGGTGTGAGCTTTAGCGACATTTGTCAATTCAAATTTTCTCTAATTGAGGTTGCGTTCTTAGCGCACATTCTTCTATGGTCTCTTAAAATAGAGTTCACAGTCGTAACGTTCTGTTAATTGGTTTAGGGGATATCAAATACAAGGTCATCTCAGCTCATCCAATATCGAGAAAAATGCTCTCCATCATACTCTCTAAGGGCTGATCGCTCAGCATAAGCGGCCTCATGGTGCAGGTCACTTGTGCTCCTACAGGTAATTTCTGGAGGCATCGCACCATCGAATTATCGAAGCTTTTCACCGGCCCCAATCGGGCTATAACCATTTCTGACCCCTGAACCGCCAGTTGCCCGACGCCTTCTGAATCAACAATACGGAAAGACTTTCAAACACGTCTAATTGTTCCGATGACAATTATATAAATAACTCGTGCCCATCCTTACAATACGGTCCACATCCTTACGGAGTTCCATCCTCGACATGAGTTCCGTTACTTTGCGAATAATAATTATGCACTGTCACGCACAAGTGTCATGTAAAATCTGCACAAATTTACTGAAAGCTAGATACAAATAGTGCAGTACGTAACACGGTAGTTAGGACTACTAAGAAATGCGCAAAGATGGTGGTAAGTGTCGGAAGCTAAACTCGGAATTCAGCAGCGGCATTGAGGGGCGGTCACAAAATGAGACGAAAAGAACCAAATGGCATTTTTTTTGCTGAGACGGATGGTTGCAGCGATCCTTAAGGCTGGTTCACGTAGGTTGATTCCGATAAGTAGTATGTTGCTGTCTCCTATTTTAATTTTGTGTAGGTGGGCAAGTGCGTCTTAGGCTGGTGACGTCCAAAACAAGACGTTGTAATTAAAAGAGTCTGCAAGTGCTTAGCTAAAGGGCTGAGTCCTGACTTTATTACGAATGACCCGTCTTTGTCTTGATAAAACAAAACCTCTGAATCATGACTCTCGTGTAATTCGTCCAGCATGCGGGAGAGTAAAGTTTTACGGGACTATATTGTAATAGAGTATTCATTTGACCGTCGAGTGAATGAGGTAAAGTTACGAGATATCGCTTCCAGTGAAGCGTCAATGATAGAAATTTCATTGTCGCTCAAGACATGTTTGTAATCAGCCTGTTTATCGAAAAACAATCATAGACCGCTTGCAAGTGATTGATATGGATTTTCAAAGTCAATCCCTCGCACTCTATGGGTATGGGCAGTTTTATCATCGCGTGGGTCTGTGTGTATTGGCCATGAAGACTTAAACGGTTGCGTTACCGGTCTCGAGGGTATGCCGAGCGACTCACAAGAACCCCGCTCAAAGTACGCACTGCATTGTTAAGAATGTCAGTATCTTATGTACAGCGTATGATATTCATCAATTTGGCTGATAAACACCAAACAAATTGGCCATACTTCCTTGCAGCACGCCCGTGCGCAGAATCATTGTTTGCGCCAAAATGGTTGCTGCAATCAAATTTTTTAAGCCCTCACTTTTTGTGACTCGCCGACAGCTTGCTGATGCAGAAAGTCAGTACCATATGAGATAATCTCTTCAATTTCACCAAACCGCCGAATCTTTGCACGAAAGATAGCGCTTTTATGTGCGACTTATCTTTTAGTAAAGGTTATTACATGTGACGTGGAAGTTGATATCAGGATCTCGGTCAATCTCATGACACAATTTCCAACACGGGGTAAATCGTGTGGTGCGGATTGGAAAATATTTCTTCAACAAAGCATTAAGATTTCGTAAGGCTCATGAGAATTTCTATCTCGCCCCTTGTGCTGATTGACCTGCTAGACTTCTCAATATCAACCTCATCAGTGAAGGAGGACGTGCGAAGCACCCACCCGCGCCAATATAATGACCTTACCGTACAGCCCGTTCAGCGATTAAACTGCAGACAATGCCCAGAGATAACCCTTCAAGCAAATTATGGCTTCAGCTTGGGGTAATGAGGCTGTCTTCGAGCGGATCCACAAATGATTATGGCCTCTATCAATCGGTTAAGTGCCTCTGTTTCTAAAGGACTTGAGAAAGCGTTTGATCTGGTCAAATAGTGTCACAATTCAGTGTGCTTTAAGCCGGTATTACACGAATCTCCTTATGTGATGTTTAATAGTCATGCGATGATGATTCCGGTCACAGCATTAAAATGTACTTGTATGCCCTGATCCTGACCTTCCGAATCCGAGTCGGCTATTTCACATCCTCTGTGATATAATTGCACTTCACTCAGAGTCGATGTCAATGGGCATGAAACCGTCAGTACATTAAAGTATCGCCAGCGTAAAGCGGCGGAATGAGAAAAATGTTTTGAGGCAATGATCAAATGATCTTATCATCAAACTTAAGACGAACCTGCTTGAATTTAAGGTATCCAATATCTAAACCAATCATGCGTCATTACGCACTGCGATGTTGTCGCCGCACCTCTCACAAAGGGCATGATGGGTAGCTATTTTTCCTAAATATTGCTTCCAGTAAGTTACAAGTCGGGCCGGCTTCATGTTGTGGTGGATGCAATTTTGTGTTGCCCAGATTGCTTTCGTGTTACCCAGATTAAGAAGTGTCGTATTTCACAATGGTGGCGTCGCGCATTAATAATATGATACGTACAGCGTACGAGTCATTTGCTATGTTAATGAATTTTTGTCCGAAAGGCGTTTTTCAACGAGGATGTAGCTCTTCCGAAGCGTTTGATTTCACGTTTGTACTGCTGTTCCTTGTCCCAATTATTGATGTATTACAGCACTGACCCACTCAGCACTCAAATGGTTGTACCTTATGATTCCCTCAAGCATATATAACCGTTGAGGGATTTAATATACGGCCAACTCGAAGAAATAGGACATAAGGTTCAAGGAACTCTGTATACTGACGTTTCAACATGTATAATATCGAAGCACGTATTATACGGGAGAAACGTGTCAGCTAGTGAACTTTTAACGCATGCATCGGCAGCTTTGGCGACCACCGATTCGAGCAGATGACTGATAATCGTGGACTTAATTTGTACGTTTCCAGAAATCTCGAAATTGTGGTTTATGTAGCAATAGTTTATCTTGCTGCTGCAAGCAGCATGAAGGAACATTGAAGCTATTCTCAATAAGATTTGCCAACATGGCTTTTTGATGATTACCGCCTGGATCGAGATTTGCGCTTATCTACAAATATTGCTCAAGCCAACTTTGACTTGTCCGCCGCTGACATACCCAGATAGATGACCGGACAAAATGAATTCATTCATGGTCGGAGAATAACCTTCAAAACACTCACGTGAAGCTACTAGGCCTAGAGCTAAAGGCTTTCATTTTCATTAATGATGCAAAAGCATATCGTTTCGCACTTGTTCCGTTGAAAATTATTCAGACAGATTTATTTTGTTGATAAAATTATAAATGTCTCCAGTCTTGTTGGGAGATAAATTACCGATAAGATTGCTGAAACTTGCGCGGCTGCACTTCATAGCAGAACTGAGGTTTTCATATCGAAAAATGTGTGTCATTTATTGATTGCTTGAGTCGATTGCTGAAATCCAGGATTTGCTAAAGCCCCATACAGATGCTAGCGGCAATCGGTGCACATATATATTAGATGTGTGTCATACAGCCATTATATAACACTATTCAATAATCTACATAGTTTTAGTTAGTAGCGTTAGTGTAAACATGATGCAACGTCTTCTGCCTTGGAGCAGCGACTCGGTCTTGAATCGCTTCAGAGGTCTCATCTTAACCAATATGTTTGTACAGCTTGGAGAGTGCATTTGAAAGTTGATTTATGTCAGTTATGGCTTACAACGAGGCACTCAGAAAAAGTTAATATGTTGCACTTACCCCAAGTGCCAATCGCGGACGGAATTTCCCTCGCCGCCTCTTCGAGCTGAGTGAAGAGTGATTCATTTATATGACAGTGGGTCGACTGGCTCACTAGTGCTGTAGCCAGTAAAGAAGAACTTCAATTACTCCGGGGAGGTACATGTTACCTTTGTCAAGATTGCCCTGGTGCCGTTGTCGCAAATATTTTTGCACACCATATCCCCAACGAACAAGACGGGATTGCGCATTGCAATACACTTTCTCCTAGCAAGTGAGATCCAATCTTATTGTAGCTCGACACCTGGCCGGTAGCTGTACCAGCAAGCTCGTGGTAAAGAACAACGCTATCACAGCAGAAAAATTGTACACCGCGAAGTCGACATGCCTCGTTCTTAGCAAAGACAAAAATCAAGCTATGCTTTATTTGTACGTCTGTTTTGCTAAAGCTGGCATGCAAAGCTGTTTGAGGCAGCGTGCTTGGGCATCCTTCAGCAGAAATCACCAGCGAATAGAAACATAGATGTCATCCTGATGAAGGATACAGATTTACCTCACTACAGTCGCTCTAGGTGCAGGCTACGCTCCTAAGAAGCTGCGGGCTCGAAAAGCGCTCGTTCTGTATTCAAATTTGATTGAAAGGGGACAATTTGTTTGGGATGAAATAATAGTCACAACGTGATCGCGTCTAGAAAGGTTGCTATGACCTCTGTACTTCAGACGACTTGTTGATCCAAGTAACAAAATGGATCTCATTGTAAGGTCCATGGTGGAAGTCGTAACACCTTGAACGGGCAAGTTTTGCGCAGGTGGGAAGAAGTGTAAAAAACGCCTCGTTCTCGCAAAACACTGTTGTCGTGTAGCTTTGGTGAGGCGCAGGTGCTGGGTCAACCTCTTTAGTCGGAGAGCACCTCGGTTTTGTCATCGCGTAAAGCTGGTGGGTCGCCAGCTGTGCGAAACATTAAGCAGTGTGCTTCTGATGTGGATTTCGCGCGTAAGAACATGCACTGTTTTGTGTAATGGTAGAAAACCTCCCGGTGCAGTGGATACTCGTAGAGCGTACACTCTTCTACAACGTCTCACTCAGACAAAACGAGTGTGACCCCTGTGATATATATTTTTGCGGGGAGGGTTTAACGAGGTACACTGTGTACGTAAAAATACATAACGTAGTGCCCTACTCAGAAGTGCAAAAGCAAAGTCCCGTGATGAAGTATCATATTTATTATGTAACGGGGTCACACGAAAATAGGGGTGTGTGTCACACGAGATGTGCATGATGTGAACACACACCCAAACAAGAATACGGCACGGGGCTAGGTAGCCGGTAGTTAAGCATGTATCTGGATTTTACTATATATATATTTAGTATATTGAGGAAATTCAAACTTTTAGCATTAGGATAAAAATATCAATAAAAATCAGTTCGGAATTGAAATCAAAGAGTCGATTAGCCTTGGGAAGGCAGTAATCACTTTTAAAGTAAGCGGATTGCGATCCGCTAACTCATACTTGGTTCTTGTAAAGAACGAAAGGTCGATGACGTAAAGTACGCTGCCCCAAACGTTTTGCTACGGCAGCCCCGCTGCATATTACCGATAAATATAAGGGTGAAAGACTACGAATGGAGTGATTGGCTGTTAGCCTCTAGTTATGTACTAAATTAAACTTCGTCATTGATAAATTCGATATAATTTACCATTACTTTGAAGGTTCTCGGTTCCGCTTCTGCAAGACCTTTCGATTTGTGTCCCAGACTCCAATTTACTCAATGATAGAATTTTGTTGCTATTTTTATATGCATTGCAAAGCTGCGGGAAATAAATGCTATATAACTATATCCATGACATCAGTTTTAGTTAAAGTAGTAATACAAGACGGTTTTCATGTGTTCTCCTTCTATTGTTAGCCTAGCGATTCATTATGACCTTCTTCCGACTATCTGATGGTTTTGTGACCCAATTTACGGCTTGATGATATGAATGTGTTAACAATCGGCTTTACCCACAAACAGCTAATAATAGTCTCGTTACATTGGCAGCTGATACAATGCTGTCTATCGAACCACTCATCACGAAATCATTTCGCAAGCATAATGTGCTCAGAGGGTTTTGATTGGTTTTTTTAAAATTTTCTTGATAGACAAGAGATTTAACATTCCGAGACCGGAATTTCCTTTTTCATATTACGAACACGACGATTGCGGCATTGATTAAAGTTTTGAGAAAGCTATATGTCACAAAATGCAAAGCAATATTAAATTTGCTTTGCAATATACGCCACGTGCTCCTAAAGGGGTGTGTAGTAAGGTGGTGAGCATAGTTTGCAAATCCGAGTCTGCTACCTTGTATTAAAGTGGTCAATGTCACATCAACATCGTAGTGAGAAGAACGGATTTATCGATTCTAAATGAAGAACGTGAATGAACCCTAAGCATTACATCCTTTAGCCTGCCTCCATTTGAATATCCAACTTAGCATAAAATGATAGTATCAAAGTATAATTGACGTTAAGCCGTCATGCAAAGATGAGACATTAGATTGGATAACGTGAATAATAACCAGTCCATTGTTATATCTTAACAGAGATGGAAACGAATTGGGACCAAACATGCACAAACCAGTCGCAATGCGAGTGGCGATTGGTTCACGGTCAGAAAGAAAAGTCCGCTCGATGAGGGCGAAAGTGTATGATACCGCAATGCTGGTTCGCATTTCCAGTTTCTTCGATAGATTTTTGTTAAATGACAAGTTCTTGCATATCTTGTTTGTTTATTGAAAGCATACAAAAGTAACGTTCAAAACAAGTATAGCTCAAGATGAGCACTTTCAGTAGCACCAGATGCTTGAGCTTCAATGGAGGATACACATCTGTATGGCAGCAAAAAAACGTACTATTATTTTTATCTATATTGAATACGAAACTTCTTGGCTGTCGATACGCACAACATGTGAGGTATCAACACATAGCGTGCAGAGAGTTGCAAAACAGCGTTACGGATAAAAAATATTTCACGATCATGTCATAAACATCGTATGATCATCTCTTGAAAGCCAGAGTCAGGTAAGTATCAGCACCTTTCAAAATGTGATAGCCAGGTCGACATGAATGGTGCTAAACATCTGTGAATCTCGTCTGCGACTTCAACGTTGATGTCATGTCTCTCTAGGCGCTTGTAATCCCAAAATGCATCATTATTACTGGCTTTTATGATATGCAAAGAGCGGAGACTGCTAACACCATGTGTTGAACTGAATATTGTTTTATCATAGCTGTATGTGTGTTGAATTTGGTAACGAAAGTTGAAGTGTACGGACGTTGGTGGCTTTCGCTCAAACCAAACATCCTGCGGCAAGATTTCGATTGGCACTGATTCAGCTAACTGACCGGCTGTACATGTACAATGGCTGATCCGTACCGACTGCGTAAATTTTATTTGTTCAAGTCATATTGAACCCAATTCGGCTGGTTCCTGCTAAGCTGTTTACTTTGCACTGATTGATAGTCATACGCATACATCGTATGATAATGTGGCCTTATGATACTTTCGTTGACAATGGCATTTCACAGCTCACTATCCGATTTCACTTGCCAGCAACAATAGACTAGATACCAGCGCAAAATGCTCACGTCGTGGCGACCGGCTTTGTTCAACATAATGCTGAGCCTTGCTATCATCAACAAGAACTACGCCGATGCTGGTAATCGGGCTGACCAAATCACGGTCAGTTTTACCGATGATATCTTTAACAAAGGGCTCGACAATGCGGATGAATGGGATGCCAAGGTTGAAAAAATAATGGCAACTTTTACCAATGTGGACCTTGTTGGTCAGATGACAGAGATTGCTGCTTATGGTCTACTGAATTCGACGTACCAGATTGACGAGGAGGCTGTTCGTGCCTATGCCAGATACCATGTTGGCTCGTATATAAGTCCCCCCATGTCAACTGTTGGAAAGATCGATGGCAAATGGGGCTGGACAACGGCTGAAATGCGTGCGTTTGTTGGTCGGATCCAGGAGATTGCCATGGAGGAAAACGGTGGGCACCCGATGATCTATGGTACGGATGCTGCTCACGGTAACGCCATGGCTACAGATGCCGTCTTCTTCGGTCAGCAAATTAACGCCGCAGCTTCATTCAATCCGAATCTCGTTTACAAGCAGGGCCGTATCACCGCTCGGGACACACTGGCATCGGGCATTCCATGGATCTTTGATCCCGTTTTGGACATTGTTCACAACCCATTGTGGCCCCGTGTGTACGAGACGTTTGGCGAGGATCCGCATCTGGCTTCTGTCATGGGTGCTGCCATTACGCGCGGTATCCAAAGCTATCCAGAGGCGGCTGCCTGCATGAAACACTGGATTGGATATTCGTGGAACCCAACTGGCCACGATCGAGAAGGCGTGACCATGTCAGACTTTGACTTACTTAACACTTACTTCCCGTCTTTCAAAGCTGCGGTGGATGCGGGGCTTTTGACAGGTATGGAGAATTTCGTATCAGTCAATGGAGTTCCCGTCGTAGAAAACACAAAACTTTTGACAAAACTACTCCGTAATGATCTGAAGTTTGAAGGTTTAATGGTGACGGACTATACGGAGATCAATCACTTGACAGAATTCCACCGTACCGCACGTTCCACAGATGAAGCAGTTAAATTTTCACTGGAGCGTACGTCCATTGATATGAGTATGGTGCCGTCAGATCTGTCGTTTACAAACGGCACCAACAAGCTGATACACGAGAATCCGGCAATCATTAATCGACTTAAAGAGTCTGTTCGTCGTATCATCAAGACAAAACTGAAACTCGGTTTGTATGAAAATCCGATGCCTGGTGCAGAATACGTCGAAATGGTCGGTAACGATGACGATGTCGCCACGGCCTTAGACCTTGCTCGCGAGTCAACAGTGTTACTGCAAAACAACGACAGTACTCTTCCTATCCCAAAAGATGCTTCTGTTTTCTTAACGGGACCTATTGCACACGATATTGGCCGTCAATGCGGTGGATGGACGCTTCACGTTTTTGGCGTATCTGGCAACGACATGTTTACACATGGTGTATCGGTCAAACAAGGTTTTGAAGCTATTGTCGGTCGCGAAGCTTTCACTTTCTTCAACGGTCTCAACATTACTGGCAGTTACACGGATGCTGATCTTACTACTGCCAAGAGATATGCCGCTGAAGCCGAATACACGGTTGTTGTTATTGGCGAGGAGACATATGAAGAAAAGACCGGCGATATTGATGACCTTACTTTGCCTCGTGGCCAAATTGAATACGTAAAGGAACTAGCATCGACTGGCACCAAAGTCGTTGTCGTGCTCTTCGAGGGGCGCCCCCGAATTTTGAATGATATTCCCGAACACTCTTACGCTGTGATCAATGCGATGCTTTCATGTGAACAAGGTGGCAGAGCTGTTGCAGAGATCATTTATGGAGATGTAAATCCTAGTGGGCGTATGCCCATTACGTACCCGAAGCACACTGGCAACGTTCTGATTTCGTATCGTCATCGTGTCAGCACTTTGTGCGCTTTAGGAGACGCTTGCGAACCCCAGTGGACGTTCGGACACGGGCTTAGTTTCACTAACTTCACGTATTCCAACATGACCATCAGTACCACGAATGTCACGTCCAGCTCAGAATCCGTCTGTGTCTCTGTGTTAGTGACGAATTCTGGCAGCGTTGCCGGGAAAGAGACCGTGATGCTGTTTCTTACGCAGCCGTATCGGTCTATATCGGTACCAGAGGTCAAACAGTTGAAGAAATTCTCAAAGATTAGTCTCAAACCGGGAGATTCAAAAACGGTGACTTTCGAGCTGACGGCGGCGGACTGGAGTGTGTACTACCCCCAAATAGGTCAGGGCCTTAAACTTGTGGCAGAGGATGCAGACTACGTGGTTGCCATCAAGCCTGAGACAGATTGTGACGTGTACAACAAGACTGCTGTCGCTAACTCTCTGTGTGCAAAGTTCACTCTGTCTACTGGTGACTATCCTTTTGGCTCCCTCGTGGCAGAGTAAATGAAAGAAAAGTGATATGATATACATTGGAAGCAAATTTAAGAATTACCGATTATAAACGAAGTTGTGCTTTCGATACGTCTAATCATAGCCTCTAATCAACAACCCATCTTACTAACGCTCGTCCTTACTCAAACTGTTGTGACTGTGAAGATCCAGATATTAGAAAGTCATTCGTGTTGAGATTGAACAGCGTCACACAAATAACGGGTTTAAGAAGATTAAGCCTACTGCAGGGACGCGCAGCACGAAAGAAGCTACGTTTCTCACCCCAATGTCAGCAGTTATTTTTTCTACGTGAGGTATTATCCACGATCAAGTCAGTGGGAGGTTATACTTGAATCTAGTGCAGATCGCATCAAGTTTGTCGGCTAGTTGTTCAAATTGGTAACGGAGGAAGCTTATACAGCTGACGCCGAAAAAGAGCTCGACGGACGCACCGAAATACTGCTATAAGTGCAATCATTTTAAAGCTCCGTTTAGCTTAGAACTAGGCCAAATTGTAAAAATAAAGATCATGGTCTCCTATGCAAAGGAGGCGAAGGTTATGGTATTTAATTCGTCGCGCTATATTGCATGATTTTCGACGCGTTACCAAGACGAGGGTAGAGAAAACCAGACAATCGTCACTCAGTAACTGAGTACTACAAAAATTCAAAGTACACGCCAATTTTCTGCGACTCTGTGGTTGACAATTACAAGCATCAGCTTGCCTTATGCTAAAGTCTTTTCATTCACTACGTCGACCACCACATATATCACAACGTGATACTTCAATGCTGTCGCAAGACATGCTCGTGCCGCTTCCGATAGTGCAGTGCTCCCGTTCTATTTTGCGCTAAATAACAAATTCGTTGCCAACAAATAAGAGAATTGCGGAATGAATTGTGCTCGTAAAGCTCACACTGAGAAAAGTTTTAGGACAAGATTCATGTAAGCATAAAACAAATAGGTATTGCAGGAGCAAATATAACGGTGATTGTTGTAGTTCGTGTACTTATACTGACATATCTGGTAAAATTGCGATTGAAGAGAACTCACATTACACTTTGGTGTAACTGGATACCAAATGGATAATGACACTTCAAAAAGAAGGAATCCATGGTATACGTGGGTTGCTCCGCAAATCAGAAAATAAGGACAATTTTGTTCATATAAGATTGTTAAAGCAAGTGTATTTACAACTAGTCAAAGTAACAGTAATTCTTAGCTGTACGTTGGGAACAGCAGAGGTAATAGACACCTAATTACCTAAGAAGCTCCCAGTTGTCCTCCCGATAGGAATTCGAGCCCAATATCTATGTGTTTGCTAACGTGGGCATTGAGAGTCTAATTTTTCCTCGTTACAAAGTGCACGACAATCCCGTTGCACTTCGTAGCACTTGTGGTCAACACACGACCAAGCAGTGGAAGGATTGTATCTTCTGCGAGAATAGAACATGACAAATTCAAAAAGTGTCCTCAGGATAGGTGGACGAGCTCGATAAGCTTTCCTCTATCTATGGTTTCGATGAAGTTAGAAAAATAGTGATCAAAGGCTGGGAGTTGTAATCGCTCGCACAGAGGCGCTCACCAGAAGTATAAATCCTAGAAATCCACGCCCGGGAGCGCGCCAGTGGAGAAACAGATGTTTTCAACCGTAGCCCCGCTGATGTTAATTGGTTTTCAGGCATTTAAAAGCCTGGACAAAAAGTTCTCTCTCTGGATGGGGCCCATAGATTTTACCTTGCTTCTAACGGTCCACAGCCCGTCGCGCTTGCGATCTCCAAACTAGAAGGTCGCAAGCGAAAAAAACACTTACCTGCAATACCTCGGTAACTCAAGTGCTTCCAACGTGGGATGACAAATGTCGCGCGCGGTCGCACCGCTTAATGAGGCGTATCGGGTGCGTTCGAAGTATTTGATCACTTGTGGACTTTTTCCAGAGGCTGTGAACTCTCAATGTCACAATGGTGTCAGAGCCTAGTAACGGTCACATCTTTTTGAAGGGTCCCCGAACGGATGCAGTATGCACCAATTCTTTACTTCTGCTTCAACTCTTTTGAGGAAACGGTGAGCGTCGCATCCCATGCGTTGCTCAACATCCGTGCCATGAGGGTAGGGTATAACGGATTTTTACGAATAGAAGACCTTCTACTATTACAAGCCCCCATCTAATTTTCGACATTGTTCTAGAAATAAAAGACCGCTTCGATTAAAGACCTCTTCAAATAAAAGGCCGCTGTAAACACCTTAACATTGGGCCGTTATTTTGAATTCGACCATGCGTCAAGCAATTGAGCTCGGAAAGAAGCAGGAGGAGATCAAGTGGATCGGC